CTTGGGAGATTTCCCTTTGTTCCACTTTTCTTTCTAATGAGTCCTTCCTAGTGCTGACTGTCTCTCTAGTCCAGTTAAGCTCATTTGCGCTAGTACTGTCCTTAGGCATACAGAACAGTTGGTCAGTGTCCTCTTTATGGTAACTCCTTATACTTGAGCATAGCAATTAAACTGCCCCTTGGCTCTCTTTCACTAGGATAAACAACCCCAACTCACATAGCCTTTCCTCACAGGCCCTGGTTTTTAATCCTTAAATCTTTTTCTGGCCACTCTTCTTTGGATCATCTCTAATTGCTTTGCCATCATTTTAAGATAGATGATGAGTGGGCCACATTTGAGTTTGATGTGTTATTTAGTGAGTATCTTGGAAATTAAGGGAGATGATGCAGTTTGACACAAGGACATTAGACTAGGAGTCAGAAGACCCACATTTCATACTTCCCCTGTTATATACTTATAATGAACTGGAAGTCAAATCTTGACAAGTCATCTAGAAGTCTCAAAGCCTCAATCTATCATCTATAAATGTGGAATATAGATATCTTCCCTGCTGGCATCCTATTGTGAAGTTCAAATGAGACACTTGTGTGAAAGTGCTTTGTTTTGGCATCAAAGTGGAATACCAACACTATATATCAGAGAACTTTCCAAATGATTTAGACATATTAACTCATCTAAGTATAGCTTTTATTTAAGTGTTATTTTGAGAAAATAGAAATACAGAGAGGCCTTGTCAAAGAGCTAATAAGTGACAGAATCCATTCAGACTATATTCCTGGGACAAGGTAACTAGCTAGATTACCTTGAGAGTAAGCTTTAGGTTCAGTGAGAGCACCTACCTCAATAAATAAAGTGGAGAATGATGGACAATGATACAGTATATCAGCTCTTGGCCTCTACATACATGCACGCAAATGGACATGCACCCACATACATGTGCACCCCCACAGGTACATACACACACTCATGTACATACATATGCATACATGCATGCAATAGCAATTAATGAAAATAGAGGCCATGAATTTGAAGGAGATTTGGAAGGATATATGGGAGGGCTTGGAGGGAGGAAAGGGAAGGGAAAAATGTTGTATTATATTATAACCCCCAAACAAGATTTTAAAAAAGAACTATTGACATAGGAAAAATAAAATAGTGCTCCAATTCTTGTATTTAGGATCTACAGTTTTTTAATGTTCTTTGAGATCTAAGAACTTACTTATTATGGTTTCATTTGCCTCTTGCTCTGTCAATTCCTATGGTAATTCTCATAGCTATAAATGTATCATACCTTTCTTGTAGCTTAGCTGTTATACAGAGACACTAATGAAAGATCAGCATCTAACTGATTCTTCTTCTCTATTATTATATGAAGACCAGGAAGGATTAAAAAAAGAACTTTGGAAGACATGTTAGAAAAATTTCTATTGATCATATAACTGTATAAATAGTTGTAGGAAAATAATAGTGTATATAATGCAGTGTAGACATTATCTTATCTAAAGCTTTATTGAAAATCTGCTGACATTTGAAAAATTGCACTACACTACAATATTTTCATCAATAACTGATGGGTATGGCATACAATATGAACTTTATGCTTAAATCTGATCTATTGACAATCATGCTATAACGGCATCAGAGGCTCTTTTGTCTCAGATAGTCAAATGAAACATGATTTTGTAGAAGTCTGTCCAAGTTTTTCCAGGAAAAAACCCTAAATGATATTGAAAACACTTAAAATCTGAAGCTGTCTTTTCGAGCTTGATGCTCATTGAGTTATGATTGTTATCACTGTACATCTTAACATAATACATATAATATAGTATACATGTACATATAATACACCGACAATATGTATTATATTATGATGTTTGTCACAAAAATGACTAAACACCAATGAAAGGATTCAACTTATTTAAAAAGTGTTTCTTTAAAGAAATAGCATGCTGAAGTTGTTTACTTAAGAAATCTGTTTATTGAGAAATTTAAATTTCAGCAAAAGGAAATAAATAGCAACAATTTTGTTATCAGTAGGAGAAGAATAAACAGAGTTCCTATTTTAAAGACTTAAAAATGTGTAGTCTAATAATCACATTATATGGCTACAAGTACTTTTTTTCCTTTGGATCAGCAGTTCTTAACCTGTGGGTTGCAGCTCCTTTGAGGGTTGCATAGAAGATCCCCTGCATACCATAAATTTACATTAAATCCATAACAGTGGAAAAATTATAGTTATGAAGTATCAATGAAATAATTTTGTGGTTGGGGGTGACCACAACACTAGAAACTCTATTCAAGGGTCACAGTGTTGGGAAGGTTGAGAGCCACTGCTTTGGATGGAACTGTAGCTAAATCTCAGTGAAGCTTATTGGAGTATGCTTCATCAAGTGTCTAGCTTGTCATTTCTCCATTACTAGGTACCATGTACTTTGTGGCACATTCTAACCCTACTTTGTAAAACATATGGTCTCATAGGAGCTACTCAATGGTAAGTAAATCAAACAACTTGACACTTATTTTATTTTTTAAGGAGATAAATGAATAAAATGACATATTTGGGGGGTACATAAAGAAAAAGAAAGGAAAACAGAAAAGTGAAACATGAAAAAACAGACTTTTCAAATTTCAGGAGTTTGATTTTCCTTCTGTGATACTGATTTTTCTCTCCAAAACTTTGTGCCCTCTAGGGTGGTTGAATTAATCTTGTGTGGTAGAGCAAATTTTGTTTTTTTTTCCATTATGGAAATGAGGAAAGCAGGGTATAGATGGTTAAGTGCCCAAGGTTTCAGAGGTACATAGAACTCAGAGCATTACCCAGCAGTTTTTCCATTACTGAAAGCCTCCCGGTCCATACCTTTCAGAGAATATTGGATATTCAAGAAGCCGAAGTCCCCAATGGAAAAGAAGGAAAACAAAAAAGTGTGACAAGCAAGATGTTCTTCTGTTTGGACCTATTAAGTAGGTCACCCACTAAAAGGCTATTTTGGTCTAAACATTTTGGAGGGCATGTAGTACATATAGCAGCATCACTGACCTGATTCTTCATTTTTAAGATCAGAGAAAATCAAAGGAAGTTTGGATTTTTTTTTTTTCAGTGAGGGAGAGCATGGATCATTTGTGTTGCTCAGGAGAATGTTAGTTGAGGACCTAACCAGGCTTGCTCTAGATTTACTGTGAGCCACCATCCATTAAAAGCACTGCTGAACTTAACAAGGGGGCAGCTTTCTACTTCTAGCCTGTAGCATCAGCAGCTTTCCCCGTCTCCACCTCTCCCTCCCTCTTCTCTTTTTTCTTTTTGTCTTTTTAATAGGGATAGATCTGACAAAGTGCTAATATTTCATTTCCTCTAAAGCAGCTCTAACAGGTAATGGCTGCTCACCATAATTTTCATCTCTGAAGTTCTTTTGGCTCCCAGGCACACTGGGGTTGAATTAGAATAGGAGGTTCCCCCTATAGTATCGTTCCTAGTAAGACAGGCACTTCGTTATTAACCAACAAAGGGAGACATTTGAGGAAAACAGTAAATGTTTGCTACATTCCTGTTTGGTCCTCTATCCCAAACATAGTTTCCATCTAGCTTAGGACAAATACTTCTAGTAATCTTAGTCTAAGATTTCTGTATTTGTGCTTAATAATGAAAACATCCTGGCCCATTGGGTTGTATGTTCCACTTTATCTTATTCACGTTTTAATTTGGTTAGACTTTTAAAATATTTGATTCTTTGGGAATTCCAAACAATATATTCCAATCATGTTCTTTCCCCTTCTTCAGCTCCTCCTAGATCCTCTCCCACTACCCAATTTCACTTTGCTTTCTCTCGTAAAGCAAAACAAAAGAAAAAGCCCCGAAAAACACACAGAATCCAATGTGTATTGATCAACTCTTCCTGGGCAAGAGGCCTCCCTGGAGTGTGGTTGATATAACCAGTGACACTCCATTAGAGAAAACTGAATTTCTCTCCCAGCAAACAGCTTCCTGGTTAGGGGTGGGGCTTTGTGTTCACTTCCTGCTCTGAGTGCTGGGGTTTTGACTGATTTGAGCTTGTAAAGGTCTTGTGCATACTTAGCTTGTTCTTTTAAAACAATGTTCACACTTTTCAAATCAAGAACGTTTCCTTCCTATGACATCTTTTTTATTTTTTTAAACACACAGTATAAAAGGTACACTATAACATGCAAAAAAAAAAAGGAGAACAAGAAAGATAAATTTAAGGGGATAAGGAAGGACTGGTAATGGAAATGAGTTATGAAAGAGAATATAGAACTGATTGCTTTTCTAATTCTAATTCTGACTTTGAATCTTTCTAGGTTTGGTGGTGGATAAATGCATAAAATATACTTGGTACTGAAAGTGTAAATTTTAATGTGACTCTTCACAGTTTCTGTCCCAAACGCCAATTCTAACTGAATAGAAGGTCATTGACTTGTATAGACTTTGGGTCTGGTTAATTTTGGTGTGTAATATTTTTGTTTAGTTGCAAGATTTTCTAAAATAAAGTTTATGAAATTAAAAACACCTTAAACTATTATCTTTCTTTTCCACTACCCCAGAGGGATAATTTAGAATAGCATAGGCAATTTGAACCTGGTAAATAGTATCTATGCACATTCATCAAGAGTAGCTGATGCTCCCTAGAAAGGGTTGGAGAAGTACATATTCTGGTAAACAGAAACAAA